TATATATAATTATTTAATGTTAAATTTATAATGTTTTATTTGTAATATAAAAATATTTGTGTTCATTATTTGACTTGAATAATCCACTGTAATCATTTTTGTATTACAATGTTTGTAGCAGAGGCTATTTCCCCAAAATAAAATAACCAGAAGAGCCTATTCTTAATGTTGTCTTCTTGGTTATTATTTTGGGGGGCCACGCAGACCCGTCAGATTTTTAAGGGGGTCTCGGTGTTACTGAGTTTGGGAATGGCTGGCCTAATCAAACAAGGACATTCAAAGTTAACATATCCTGATCATTTTGTTCTTGAAAATGGTGAAGATTATAATATTAGAAATATAGTAAATAAGTTTAATGATTACTTTGCGAATATTGGGTCTAAATTAGCTTCCTGATATTCAAGACAATGAAGTTACAGAATCCCCTATTAAACAAAATTCTTGGTCGTTCTTCCTCTCAGCAACAAATGAGCAGGAAGTAACACAAATCGTACAGACATGTAAAAGTAAGTCGTCCACTGACTGCCATGATATCAATATGACCGTGACTAAAAAAGTTATTCTGAATATTGTTAAACCCCTAACTTACATCTGTAATTTATCATTCCAGACCGGTTCTTTTCCAAATAAAATGAAAATTGCTAAAGTAATTCCACTGTTCAAAAATGGAAACAAACATGAATTTTCCAATTACAGACCCATCTCTCTATTGCCTCAGTTTTCAAAGATTCTCGAGAAGCTTTTCAATTCACGACTTGAAAAGTTTCTGGAGAAACATCATATAATAAATGAAGGTCAGTATGGTTTCAGATCCAAAAGAACAACATCAATGGCAGTAATTGAAGCAATTGAAGAAATCTCAAATGCATTAGAGCAGAAAAAGTATACAGTTGGTATTTTTGTTGATCTTCAAAAGGCTTTTGACACCATTAACCACTCAATACTACTAAAAAAGATGGAAAGATACGGAATTAGAGGACTGGCTGGGAAATGGATCAAAAGTTACTTAACAGGGAGGGTACAGTTTGTTAAAATGGGTCAGTATTTTTCAGACACGGTTGGCATTACTTGCGGTGTCCCCCAGGGGTCAGTATTGGGTCCTAAACTGTTTAACATATATATGAATGACATTTTTAATACATCTAAAGTACTAAAACTAATTCTATTTGCTGACGACACAACTATTCTATACAGTGGTGATGATTATAATGAGCTTGTAATCTCCGTAAACAAGGAACTACATCAAATAAAAAAGTGGATGGATGCAAATAAATTATCCTTGAATGTAAATAAAACTAAGATGATGATGTTTGGGAATCGCAACCTAACGTCTGAATCGAGAATAAGTATTAATGATATCCAAATTGAAATGGTAAGTGAAATTAAGTTTTTGGGAGTAAAAATTGATAGCAAGTTGTCATGGAAACCCCACGTCAGACACATAAAAAACAACATTTCCAAAAGCCTCTCAATTATTAACAAAGCAAAACTATACCTAAATGGAAATGCACTCCGTACATTATACTGCAGCCTGGTTCTTCCATACCTGACGTATTGTGTTGAGGTCTGGGGTAACACTTACCACAACACACTACATCCTCTCATCATATTACAGAAAAGAGCAGTGCGGATCATCCATAAGGTTGGTTTTCTGGAACATACTCATAATCTTTTTACTCAGTCAAAGCTGCTAAAGTTTGATGATCTTGTTAAATATAATACATCAATAGTCTTGTATAAAGCATTCAACAAATTATTACCGTCTAACCTGCAGCGTTTCTTTACGACTCCTGAGCGAGCTCATAACTTGAGGGGTTTTGGATATTTTTCACTGCCGAGATCAAAAACCACTTGTAAATGTTTTTGTCTGTCAGTATGTGGAGTAAAACTTTGGAATAAACTGGACTCACAACATAAGCAATGTAAAACTATTCATCGATTTAAACTGTTCTATAAACATAAGGTCTGGTTACAATATAGAGATGAGGGTCTTTAATTTAATCAGATTTTCTCTGTCTCATAGTGTAACATGTGCTCAATGTTCCATTACCTTGTTGGTATATAGAATCTTGCTATTGTTGTTTTTTCTTTTTTGTTCATTACCATTGTTGGTATGTTTTCTATTACCATTGTTGGTATATTTTCTATTACCATTATTGGTAACTGTTGTTACAATGTAAATGTCCTTGTTGCCCGTGGTAACGCCACTCTGGTATGATACTGGCTTGATCTGTAACAGTGAAGTTGATCGTTTAATCACTGAAATGGGGATATACTGTAGGGGTGGGATTAAATAAGTTTTTTCTTCCTCCCACTCCTTTTCAGGCAGAAATATATGGCCATGTTAAACCATAGATTTTTGTTTATACTTTTTTGTTTACACTGTTTTTTTTTTTTTTTTTTTTTTATTGTGTTTGTCTGTTTTGTTTTTTGCTTTATATTATTTATATTACTTAATTGCATTTAATTACCTCATTTCTCACTTGTGCCATTGCCTGAAATAAATTAATAAATTAAATGAAATGAACTTTATCAGAAGAGACCTCTTGGATTTTAAAAAGGCTTGCGTTACCCAAGTTAACATCTTCAGCACATTTCAATTTGGAGAGACGAGAAAACAGGAAGTTTTGAGTATTTTATTGGGAGGAGGTTTGGCGCCCTAGGCCCCGGTGCGGCCTTCAGATCGGAAAGGCTCCTGCGATGGAGCGCGCACAATCCCCCGGGACCTAGGCACTGGTGGCGGCATTTGGCAGCAGGAAGCAGATTGGAGGCAGATTGGAGGCAGGGTGAAGAGGAGGAGGAGGGGAGGCGGTGGTTGCGAGGCTTCAGGAGGCAGAGAGTGGTAGTTTTTCCGTTTTTATGCGGCTGGCGTAGTCGGTACAGATGATTGGAAGGGGGCGTCTGCTGAGCGATAGGCTGGGATGCGAGCCGGCCTGGAGGGGGTAAATTTGGTTAACGTCTACCAAATTGAACTTTCGCTGGCTGCATTTCAATTTGGAGAGACGAGAAAACAGGAAGTTTTGAGTATTTTATTGGGAGGAGGTTTGGCGCCCTAGGCCCCGGTGCGGCCTTCAGATCGGAAAGGCTCCTGCGCTGGAGCGCGCACGATCCCCAAAAAGGCTGAGTGTTGATGGAGTTTTCGAAGCCTGGTTTGGAGGGGACAGACGTCGTGCCTGCTCTATTCTGTGACCGCTATCGCTAAGCTGTGACCGCTATCGCTATGCTGTGACCGCTATCGCTATATGCTGTGACCGCTATCGCTATATGCTGTGACCGCTATCGCTATATGCTGTGACCGCTATCGCTATATGCTGTGACCGCTATCGCTATATGCTGTGACCGCTATCACTATATGCTGTGACCGCTATCGCTATGCTGTGACCGCCAGCGCAATGCTGCTAACCATTTTTTGCTATATGCTGTGACCGCTATCGCTATATGCTGTGACCGCTATCGCTATATGCTGTGACCGCTATCGCTATATGCTGTGACCGCTATCGCTATATGCTGTGACCGCTATCACTATATGCTGTGACCGCTATCACTATATGCTGTGACCGCTATCGCTATATGCTGTGACCGCTATTGCTATATGCTGTGACCGCTATCGCTATATGCTGTGACCGCTATCGCTATATGCTGTGACCGCTATCTACTGTGATCAATACTTGCGGATACTCGGCTGCTGGCGGCGCCTATCCGGAAGGAGTGAGCTGCGTAGAGATGGGGAGACAGGTTACAAAGCAGCAGTACGGACTTTAGTTGGGCTCTGAACCCGTTGGATGACATTGGGAGGTGATCGGGGGTGAGAAATAACGGTCCGTTGAGATCTCCTTTCCGAGAGCGGAGGTGAGTGTAATGCATCGTGGGTTATCTTTGCGCGCTGGGAACGTGAACGTTCGCATCACGTTCCGTCAGACGCTGCGGCAGCGGAGAGTGTTTGAGAAGTGCGTGCCGCCACCAGAATCTTATTGCTTCGCTTACTTTGCTTCGTATTGCTTTGCTGGGAGCTTGCGAGGAAGCCAGTAGACGTTGTGCAGCCAGGATGGCGGACGCGTCTGGCCTGATGTAGGCGGAGAAAGCCGAAGAGGACCAGCTCCCCAGCTGTTGGAGAGGTGGGGGAGCCCCAGCGAGGCCGCGCGCGTGGCAGCGCCTATCCTGAAGGAGTGAGCTGTATAGAGCTGGGGAGACAATTGCAGAGGAGCAGTAGGGATCTTAGTTGAGCTCTGAACCAGGTTGCTGACGTGGGAAGGTTGTCTGAGAGAGATGTGTCGGAGCGAGCTATTATTATGTTGCAGGCGCCTTGGTCTTTGAATGTTTGAGATGAAGGTTGAAATGGTCAGGGGACGTTATGTTGGGTGAAAAAGAGCGACCTTTGTGTAATGCTTCCACTACGTCGAGATTATCGCGCATGACAGGGATCCTCTTTCTCTGCCACGTGTGATTCCACGGCGCGCAGGCCACGACCACTGGGAATATCTCGTGTAGGGCAGAGGAGATGCTCCGGTGGAAGTAGCGGCCACGGCCCGGCAACCCGATGGTCCTGGAAGAACCCCCCAAAACCCACGGAAGGGGCACGTCCGTGTAGAAGCGGAGACCTGTCGGGGCAGAGACACATCGGAGAGGGCCATAGATGTTGCAGGCGCCCTTACGCTTAGAATCTTGGGATGGAGAGTAGATAATCAGGATAGTAGGATGGTCGGGAAGCCGCGTCTCGGACCGCATGAAGGTTGAGCGAGCAGTAGTGAAACGCTTATGCAGAGAAGCCATAGAAGGCGAGCAGGAAGATGCTGCGAGGAGGGCAGACATGTACTTGGAAGATGAGCCGGAGTTCAGTGCCGCTCAGAGCTGCTGCAGGATGGGCAGCACGATGGGGGAGCCTGCGATCAGAAGAGTGAAGAATACAGGTATGGATGCCTTTGATTAGGAGTCCGATTGACGGCTCAGCGCAGCTACTCGGCCGGCTGCATCTGATAGAATCAGAAGATTTAGGTAGAGAGATGAAGCATGACCGCCGAAGCAACCCTGGGAGCATAGGTACGAGGCCAGCGCAGCGCGGCATACTCAGCCGGGCAGCATCCATAGAAACAGGATAAGCTTCTGAGAGAGTGGGTTGCAGCAGTAGCAGTAGCAGCAGCGGCAGCAGCAGAACCTCAGATAATAACAGCGATAACCTGTATCAAGCCGCGGCAGCAGCAGCAGCAGCAGCAGTAGCAGCATCCTTAGAGATTAACAGTAATAATCCTGTATCAAGCCACAGCAGTAGAATGTTGTCGTAGCTGATCAGTGTTTCAGTAAAAGAGATGCAAGTGAAGAGAGATGGCAAGTAAATGAAGCAGCAGCAGCAGTAATAGCAGCAGCAGCGGTATGGAGCAGCAGCAGTAGCAGCAGTAGGAGTATGAAGCAGCAGCAGCAGTAGCAGCAGCAGCAGCTGCAGTAGTAGCCGTATGAAGCAGCAGCAGTAGCAGTAGCGCAGTAGCAGTATGGAGCAGCAGCAGCAGCAGTAGTAGCCGTATGAAGCAGCAGCAGCAGTAGCAGCAGCAGCAGCTGCAGCATCCGTAGATAATAACAGCAATGATCCTGTATCAAAGCCACGGCAGTAGGAGGTTGTTGTAGCTGTTCAGTGTGAGGGATTTAACAGGTTTTACGGTCCAAGTGATTTACCAGGTAAATCTGAGCCCGCAGTCCAAGTGAGGAGTTTAAACTGAGAGCTTACAGTCCGGTGTGAGGGATCCAACAGAGCCTGCAGTTTGTTTGTTTTTTTTTGTTTTTTTTAGTTCCATATACTGCATAACAGTTCCAGGTATAACAGTACCATATAAGCAGTTCCAATATAGCGGTTCCATATATGTATAGTTCCATATGAAGCAGTTCCAGATACGGTACAACAGTTCCAGATATAAGCAGTTCCAGATATAAGCGTTTCCAGATATAAGCGTTTCCAGATATAAGCGTTTCCAGATATAAGCGTTTCCAGATATAAGCATTTCCAGATATAAGCATTTCCAGATATTAGCATTTCCAGATATTAGCATTTCCAGATATTAGCATTTCCAGATATTAGCATTGCCAGATATTAGCATTGCCAGATATAAGCATTTCCAGATATTAGCATTTCCAGATATTAGCATTTCCAGATATAAGCATTTCCAGATATTAGCATTTCCAGATATAAGCATTTCCAGATATAAGCATTTCCAGATATAACATTTCCAGATATAAGCAGTTACGTGAGGGATTAACCTGAGAGCTCACAGACCAATGTAAGGGATTCATTTTGGGAGCCGCAGTCCGAGAGGGATCTAAACGGGGCTTGCAGTCCAAGAGAGGGATTTAAACAGAGCTCGTAGTCCAGAGAGGGATTTAAACAGAGCATGCAGTCCAATGTGAGGGATTAAAACAGAGGTCTTGCAGTCCAATGTGAGGGATTAAAACAGAGGTCTTGCAGTCCAATGTGAGGGATTAAAACAGAGGTCTTGCAGTCCAATGTGAGGGATTAAACTGAGGTCTTGCAGTCCAATGTGAGGGATTAAAACTGAGGTCTTGCAGTCCAATGTGAGGGATTAAAACTGAGGTCTTGCAGTCCAATGTGAGGGATTAAAACTGAGGTCTTGCAGTCCAATGTGAGGGATTAAACTGAGCCTGCAGTACAATGCGAGGGGAATAAACCGTGCGCAGATCTCATACTTACCCACGGCGCCAGAAGACAAGGGACAACACAACGGGACCACGCCGTATCGGCACGAGGAGGCAGGGATGCGCACGGCTCCCACCGCACCGGGCCAGACCGGCCGTATGCGGCAGCAGGCTGCGACGAGACGAGCAGCGGCAAACCCGCGGAAAGAGCCCGCAAAGGAGAGAGCGGCAAGACCCACGGACCACAGCACGAGACCCGCAGCAGGTGCAGCCACAGGAGGAGCAGACCACACGCAGCAAGACGGAGGACACCAGGAGCAGGTGCAGCCACAGGAGGAGCAGACCACACGCAGCAAGACGGAGGACACCAGGAGCAGGTGCAGCCACAGGAGGAGCAGACCACAACGCAGCAAGACGGAGGACACCAGGAGCAGGTGCAGCCACAGGAGGAGCAGACCACACGCAGCAAGACAGAGGACACCAGGAGCAGGTGCAGCCACAGGAGGAGCAGACCACACGCAGCAAGACAGAGGACACCAGGAGCAGGTGCAGCCACAGGAGGAGCAGACCACACGCAGCAAGACAGAGGACAGCAGGAGCAGGTGCAGCCACAGGAGGAGCAGACCACAACGCAGCAAGACGGAGGACACCAGGAGCAGGTGCAGCCACAGGAGGAGCAGACCACAACGCAGCAAGACGGAGGACACCAGGAGCAGGTGCAGCCACAGGAGGAGCAGACCACAACGCAGCAAGACGGAGGACACCAGGAGCAGGTGCAGCCACAGGAGGAGCAGACCACACGCAGCAAGACGGAGGACACCAGGAGCAGGTGCAGCCACAGGAGGAGCAGACCACACGCAGCAAGACGGAGGACACCAGGAGCAGGTGCAGCCACAGGAGGAGCAGACCACACGCAGCAAGACGGAGGACACCAGGAGCAGGTGCAGCCACAGGAGGAGCAGACCACACGCAGCAAGACAGAGGACACCAGGAGCAGGTGCAGCCACAGGAGGAGCAGACCACACGCAGCAAGACGGAGGACACCAGGAGCAGGTGCAGCCACAGGAGGAGCAGACCACACGCAGTAAGACGGAGGACACCAGGAGCAGGTGCAGCCACAGGAGGAGCAGACCACAACGCAGCAAGACGGAGGACACCAGGAGCAGGTGCAGCCACAGGAGAAGCAGACCACAACGCAGCAAGACAGAGGACACCAGGAGCAGGTGCAGCCACAGGAGGAGCAGACCACACGCAGCAAGACAGAGGACACCAGGAGCAGGTGCAGCCACAGGAGGAGCAGACCACACGCAGCAAGACAGAGGACACCAGGAGCAGGTGCAGCCACAGGAGGAGCAGACCACACGCAGCAAGACGGAGGACACCAGGAGCAGGTGCAGCCACAGGAGGAGCAGACCACACGCAGCAAGACGGAGGACACCAGGAGCAGGTGCAGCCACAGGAGGAGCAGACCACACGCAGCAAGACGGAGGACACCAGGAGCAGGTGCAGCCACAGGAGAAGCAGACCACAACGCAGCAGACAGAGGACACCAGGAGCAGGTGCAGCCACAGGAGGAGCAGACCACACGCAGCAAGACAGAGGACACCAGGAGCAGGTGCAGCCACAGGAGAAGCAGACCACACGCAGCAAGACAGAGGACAGCAGGAGCAGGTGCAGCCACAGGAGGAGCAGACCACAACGCAGCAAGACGGAGGACACCAGGAGCAGGTGCAGCCACAGGAGGAGCAGACCACACGCAGCAAGACGGAGGACACCAGGAGCAGGTGCAGCCACAGGAGGAGCAGACCACACGCAGCAAGACAGAGGACACCAGGAGCAGGTGCAGCCACAGGAGGAGCAGACCACAACGCAGCAAGACGGAGGACAGCAGGAGCAGGTGCAGCCACAGGAGAAGCAGACCACAACGCAGCAAGACAGAGGACAGCAGGAGCAGGTGCAGCCACAGGAGGAGCAGACCACACGCAGCAAGACGGAGGACACCAGGGACACGCACGAGTAACGTGAGTAGACAAAAGCGATTCCTCCAGAACGATTCTTTGCGAGGCTTCAGGAGCTGCGAGGCTTCAGGAGGTTGCGAGGCTTCAGGAGGCAGAGAGTGGTAGTTTTTCCGTTTTTATGCGGCTGGCGTAGTCGGTACAGATGATTGGAAGGGGGCGTCTGCTGAGCGATAGGCTGAGGATGCGAGCCGGCCCAACACATGTTATCTTTTAAGTGTGCAAAAAAAAAACAGCTTTTATTTTATGATGACTCCGGATGTAACAACATCATTATAGCTGGATGTATACATTGTTTAAAAAAAATTAGTTAACTTTATAGAACATAGAGTTCCCCTCAAATAGATTCGGTAAATTCGACATTTGGGACTTGTAACCGCCGACAAGATTTTGCCATGACCATCCAGCTGGCTTGAAGTGTCCACACTGACTGAATGCTCAAGTCCAGGGAATCACACCATGATACCATGTTCTAGGTGCCATATCTATGTCTTTTTGATTAAAGGTATTCCAGTCGTTGCTCTGAATGGTCATCAAACCAAACTGCCTTAGCCAACTGTCACTAGCTCACACATAATCAAACATGTCTGTATTCCTCATATCTTCTATCTTGTTTTTTAATAAGAGTAATGAACATTGTAATACTCGGGCACTGTCTTTGTTTGTTTTATTACATTGCAAGAGTAAATTAAGGCAATGGTTGCTTACTAAAAATTGCAGCCATTGCACTGTCACAAATCTTTTTCAAGATAAATAATTGGTGCTAAGCGCATATGTGTTACAGAGCTCTGTGACACACACTATATCATATCAGTTTTAAACATTGCAATGGATGAATTATTAGAACAAAAATCCATTACTCGAACATAATTTAATTTATGAATACTTCAAGACCTGAGGACTGTTGGATAACACTATTGTTCCACCATTGTGTCACCACTCGTCTCCGCCCGTTTGAGCGCCATGACACAAACTGCTGCTGATTGAACAGTGCACACAGAAGGCCTCAGCGACATTAGCCCAATAGCTTTAATTAACATTTTTATCCCTCATGTCTGTTTCTCTTTTATCAATCTTTAAACACTTGATGCAATAATGCATGCCATTATACAGACGAAGCAGTGTCTCTCGTGGCTCCCCCATACTCAAGAATAATAGGTCAAGCAGCTTGTATTTAAAAAATTAATCATCTTCTTGCGTTGATTAAAGGTTAGCTGCAACTCTGTGAGACTGGATATTGAAGCTCAATTGGCTCTAGTCTCTGTGGAGATGAGAAAGATTGTCCCCGCACCCCCTTGATGAGTACAGGCATGTAAATGATTTGTGTGTTGTTTATAGGAACGGGCTGGGGTGTGCTGCCTCACTCCAGCACTGAGCTGTCGGGCTCCACTCTGTGGCCAAACTGGCAAACCGCAGCGAGAGGCGCGCGGGAACTGACCCTAAACCTGCACACTTTGTAGTCTGTCCTGCTCAGTTTTAACTGCAGTCCATTCACTCTTTGACAAATAAGGGACTTTCCTTATTAAACACATATTCATTATTTTCAGATAGCGATTCTTTCCAAATCTGACCAATTTTACTTGAAGTCTATCTAGTTCACATAAATGTTTCTACAAGACTCCCACTACCAATGGATATTCGATAACTTATAGGCTATATGCTCATTTCCATAGACAAACTTATGTCATAATTATTGTCATCAGAATTGTTATATTTTTTTTACACACATGCAACTTTTTCGCTACATAAATGATATTATTATTGTTATCAATTATTATTATTTCTGTTATTGATATAGCGTCCTCTATATCGTATAACATGTCAAGACTCAAATGCAAGTTTATGCAAATGTGTGACCCATTGTTGACTCCTATATTAAAGTGTGTTGTTGTGATCGATGGAAAACAGTTCCTGGGACAATCATGAAGACTGAATCTCATTATGAATGTCCATTAAGATGGATGTTCTTGCACACTGCTACCATGCCTGCTTGTGGAGGGAATGTTGCGAATGATGCAACAGAGTGAAAGGTGTGTTGGTTCTGCATAAATATTATAGTAATGAGCAATGTGAAGACGAAGCCTATATATTCAAATGCACATACTTTGGGACTGTGGGTGGGCGATGCAATCTGGTGTAATTTACAGCAAGATAAATTAATCATACTTGCTCCTTGGGCAGTACACCTTCGATCCATGGGATTACTTCACATTTTAATGAAAGTTACTAATGATATGGTTTAATAAATGAATCTGATTCTTTGAGGTCCAAGCTAGTTTTGGATCATAATTGATTAATTTTTAATCTGTTGCTCATTGTGGCAACAAGATGGGAGCCTCAGGCTATAATCTAAGATGTATTCAGACTCAGAAAAGTCCTTTGTCCGCTTGCTTGGACCCGAACCAAAAGCGGACTCAAACTTGAATCTTTTTGTCTGGTTCGTATTCCAGACTGTACGTTTTGCAAGTGAACATTTTTCTAAAAACTATTGGCGCGTATGACGATCGTGCTCCCTATCGACACCGAGAGCTTTTCTCACGAGGATAAGAATGCGGAATTGGCGGAAAATATCAAGCTCGTACGTCTGCTCTGCCTATGTTTGCTCTTTTTTAGAGAAAAACGACCGGCAATTTGGAGTGTCTTTTCAAAGTTTAGGTTATTTGTGCCTCTGCCAAATTTTCAAGGAGCACAGTGTCTCCTGATGCTCCAGGTCTGGCCCACGGCTCATTGTTGTTGTGTACATTAGCACTGTGGCGAGTGGCTATTCCTCACAGTTCTGTCACGGTGGCTTGTTAAAGGAACCACCTAATACCACCTAAAAAAGGGGGGTGGGTCTCGGCCGCGGTTCTTTGGTCCAGGACCAGGATTTCTTTTTGTGTGGATAAGGTCCGTTTAAAGGGACCAAAAGTGCAGGTCTGAATACATCCTAATATGCTTTTTCGGTCTATCTTTAACAGAACTGTTCCAAACAAATCAATAAATACATGTTTTATAGATTGTTTAGGATAATTAGTCCTCTGAAAAAAGACTTGTATCAATGGCTTTCTAAGTTCTGACAGGATCATGCCTTGAGCGAACAGATAAGACCACAACATACTATGACTTTATACTTAATTCCAAGTTGAAGTGGGGAATGTAATATTAGTTCATCGGACACTGTTTTTACATTTGGTCCTGAGCGTGTGCAGTAAAACATACCGCCTGCAGCAGCAAAGCCAAGAAATCAGTATACGACAACACTGCAGCACAGTAATTTTGACTGAAACGGATAAACTTTGCACGCAAGCTTCCCGTCTAATATGTTATTGTTATTATTACAAATAATATTATTAGGGGGGAGTTTATATTTGTGTACAGTACATACAGTGGCTTTGAATGGAAAATAAATGGTTCCCTTTTTGAATTTGCACCAATAAAATGTTTTGAAGATTTTCCCCAACGCTATTATATCTTGTAAATTGTGACGTTATTCAATATTTTCCTTTTAAATATTTCTGATTATATATTTAGCCCATACTGGTTAAACACTCAGGTTTAAAGGTATATAGGAGGAATTTTCCCAACCTTATAGGAAAGAACTTCCCTGTCCACTTTTATGAACAAAACTCTCCTGGACTTATTGACGACATTGAGAGGGACCTATAGTCTTTGATGATCCACCCCGCAGTAGAAATCCTCCTATATACCTTTAAGTGTACTTCTACGGATGAAATAGTTTTATAATTTTATAAAAGGGCTGCCTATATGTCTTTAAGGCAGGGTGAGTAAGCTCGCATGGCATTCGGGGCTTGAGAGAGCGTGGAACGACACCGGACTGTGTCTGTTCACTGGTGAGGAGGGCCGTAAAACCAGACGCTGTTCCCTGGTTGCGGAGAAGTATACATGCCTAATAAAGTATGGGAACTGGTGATTTTAGATGTTTATATTTTCTTTTCTTTATCACTTTTCTGAGTAATAATAATGGCACACATGGCCTCTAGTATAAGATGGTAGACTGACATGCTTTGATCCAGTGGCACAAAATACCAAGTATAAGTTTCATTTGCCCTTTTCCCTGTTTGAGATACTCAACTCCGGGTGACTCAAAGAGGTGGAGAAAGGGCATGATTGAATAAAGTCTGTTTTCTTGTTTGCTACCTTTTTAACCCTGTGCTCGCCTACAGCACAAGGGTTTTGGGTTACAAGCCTTTTTCTGCTGTCAAAGTTACAACAAATGAGTCTATGTCCTCCTTCTAGTCTTCTTTCTTCAGTCTAGTAATCAACAGATGCTTTCTGAGTCAACTATATTGTATTAATCAAGTAATAATTAGCCATAAAATAATCCCTTTTCTGCATAAACGGCACAATTTAGTTATTTGTATTTAATATTTCAAGTGGTGTAAACCCCCATTTGTCCAAGAGTAATCCCTCTCACAGCATGTTTCAAAAATAGTTACTGTACCAAGTTGTTTTCAGCATGATTAAAGAGAAAAGTTTACTCCTTCCTCTGGGCAGGACTGTACACAACATTGCAAGTCCTCAGATCAGAAAGTTAATCCAATGGGATAACAGATTGTTTGATAACCTTGGAACAGGTGACATACTTTTGAAACATGGCCGTACGATACTTTTGTCTGATTCTAATATTTTAAAGTTAGTTGCCCGCTGAACTTCAATGCTGATAGTTGAAGTCTAACATGATGGATTTCATAAGAAACAAGTGGTTTTCCAGTGGAATTACAAAAACAACACTCCGATCCTTTATGTTGGAGGTAAAACAAAAAGAATCTTGTTGCTTTTAAACTATTAAGGCACCCCATTGTCCCTAACCAAGAACTCATGAATGGAATTATGTCCCATTTGTTGGAAAGTAAATAAAAGAAAACCAAGTGTTTTGAAGCGTAAAGAAGGGGATGTTTTCTGTAGGAAGCATTGCCTCCACTCATTGAGCGATGCTGTGATCTAAGGAGAGCTGTTGTAACGTCTGTTTTTCAGTACCTATAGGTCCTATGTGTTAAATCATGGATCGCATCATCTCTGTCTGCCGTACGTGTTTGGAGGAGATTGAAAAAGACCTCCTTTTCAGGAAGTAGGAGGCCCAACAGCAATGGAATAAGTGAACACGCTGTTCTAAATCTCAATATCACATTTTTCCTATTTTCTGTATTAAAGTGTTGTCTATCTGTGTTGACTGTGACTACAGTACGTCCTTTTCCTGAAATCGGACACAAGATACACAACGTTTAAAATGCTGTAAAATAACATATCATTTTCTGTACACTATGTCTGTTCCACAATTGTAAATCACGCCTGTACTGTATGTTGCTTGCCTTTGCTTCATTTGCACCTCTAGTTTTAAATGAAGATGATTAAATGAATATATAATATATATTCATGTTGAAATTACATATCTGTCCACATTTAGGATTTACTTTTACATTTGTAATCACAGGGAATCTTGATGTTGCCTGTGTAACATTAGAAACACTTTGCCGTAATAAATTAACTATGTCTTTTTCTTAAGCACCCAATGCCATCACCCATTAACCACATATGGATGAATCAGATCCAGATATTACACAAGACAAAAGTATTCATATTGCAATAATTCTAATTTTTCTTCTGTCCCACCACCGGTGCGTTACCTGATTAGATCCCACTGACCCATTTAGAATAAAGGGCTTGATTTTGACAAGGAACATTGTAGCCCCTACATTAATATAAATATTTTTAGAGTTAAATCCATTTTGAGTTTCAAATAATTATTTAAGCGTTTTTTGCTATTTTTATTCATCCCAGGATAAATGAGACCTGCATTTTAAAATATCAGAATGTTGGGTGTAGTCCAAATTCTGGACATAAGGGCAGACTGTCACCACAAAAAACATATACTTTTGAGTGCCCATGTGGAAATGTGTCCTACGGATGAGTGTGCTAAATAACATAATCTAGTGTGCCCTTTGCACCAGAGCAGGGAAAACTTGGTAAATAAGCCCGAAGTTATAGTTTGGATCAAAACCTGAACTCGAATAGTGCGACCAAATACAAAGTTCACCCACCAACATGGGCTCTTATGACGCCACATTTTATTAATCCTTTGCTACAGGCCTCTCATGATTAATTGTTCCTGGAATCACCGCAGGCATTGAGATCGTACCTACTTCTTTCTTCTGTTGTTAATTGGGCTTTTTTGGCTTACGCTTGATTGAAGTCAGATGGTGATTACACAGAAATTTCACCTAGTGTTGCTGTGTTGGCCTGTTGACCAATGTCTTACAAGTCCCCCCAATTTCACTATGTAGCAACACTTGTCTTTCCCCCAAGTCGGCAGACAGGACGAGGGGTGCGCTGGCAATTGGCATACTAGTGTTAAAGATTGTCATGTCAGCAAATCTGTAATACTTAATCATCTGCACCTAGCGTATCCGATCAAAGGAATGCAAATGAAGGCAGTATTGATATATCTACTCGTACCTTAGCT